CGTGCTATCTTAGCTCAACAACACGTACTTTCAACTGTACGTCGTGTAGTTTTAAATGAGCATATTGTATGGTAAGCCTATCGTGATATTATTATGATATAACATCGTGCTATCATAGCTCAACATCACATACTTTCAACTGTACGTTGTGTAGTTTTAAATGAGCATATTGTATGATAAGCCTATCGTGACATTCAAATGATATAACAACATGCTATCTTAGCTAAACATCACCTAGTTTCAACTGAAAGTCATGTAGTTTTAAATAAGCATATTGTGTGGTAAGCCTATCGTGACATTCTAATGATATAACAACGTGCTATCTTAGCTTAACATCACGTACTTTCAACTGTACGCTGTGTAGTTTTAAATAAGCAAATTGTATAATAAGCCTATTGTGACATTATAATGATATAACATCGTGCTATCGTAGCTTAACATTACAAAATTTCAACTGTACGTCCTTTAGTTTCAAGTGATCATCTTATCTTAACACGTTGCATCGTGTTATTTTAAGTAAAAAAATTGTATAGTAAACCTTTCGTTTCAATATAGTGGTGTAGCATCGTGTTATCTTAACTTAACATCATGTACTTTCAACTGTGCATCATGGTGTTTTAAATCAACAGATTGCATGATAGAACAATCGTAATATCACAATGATATAACATCGTACTATCTCAGCTCAACATTTATTAATAACAAGTCAGCACCATACATTTTAGCTATTCATTTTATTTGTTATCATAGCTGTCGATGTGTATGACTGAGCAGTTTTCATCTGCAAGCTAACATCATGCAACGTCAACTTCACATCATGTACTGTAAACCCAACGTTAGGTGTGTTTGGCATATCATCACAATATCGTGACTTATCATTATACTATCACGATTAAAGCACTTGTCATTGCAAGTCAACATTGCGCAGATTCAACTAAGTATATAGTAATTTTGAGTTAGCATTTTGATGACTCAATTCAACATCACGCTGTCTTAACTTTACATTTTAAGCTTCAGCATAACGTTTTGTAAATCTCTAATATATGACAGCTGAGGCTTTCCATTTGGTTTATTGAATGATTGTAAGGTGTACATGTATTTCTCGTTTGGTTTATCTGACCTTGACCTCATTTTCTTGGATCATGTTAAGTTTATGTGTTACTTGTAGTAAAGCTTTATATTTAGGACTATCAACATAAAATCAATGGTTAGTAAAGAAGGCGAGATATTTCAGCGTGTGCACTCTTGTTCTAGTTCAAAGAACCATTTAATTAGAAAAAAGAGAACTTCTGCCTGATAATATTGTGTGGAAGTATAGTGTACAGAGTCTAACAGTCATAATTGTCAACGAATTGAATGGACCATCAAAAGCACGTAGTTTATCCAAAACACCCAAAGAATTCTCGACACTCCAAAAATAATTAATACCATTTATTTCAGATGTTTATTACAAAAATTGATATCAAGTTTTTTTTTATAGAAGTAAGTAAATTAGATAACGTCACAGAAAGAATAGTCGTAGGACACTAGAAGCCGAGATGAAATGTTATTTGAAAAAGTGAGGCGAAAGATAGCAAAGGGACATTCAAACTAATAAGACTTAAATAAACTGACAATGCGATTTGAAGGGTTTTGTGTGCAGTTTATGTAGCCAATATATGCATAGTAGGAACCTTCAAATATTCAGGGGAGGCCTTAAGCTGAAATGTGGTAGTGACATGCTTATTTACTATTGACTCTCTTGGAGCGCACGGCTTTGAATGATCAAGAACTTATAATTTTATTTTGATGTTGTGCCTTAGATTGTATTTGTGCATCTTTTAATAGAGGAAAATTGCTTCATGAATTCTCTGATCGATACCAGTATAATATCCCCCCTTTGATTATATTGAAATAGATTGGAAATCTACCAAGTTCAGATATAACTGCAGCATTTGTTGTTTATTTTTGTGCACTCCAAGTATAAATTGGCTCAGTCAATTTGATGTGAAGTTTCTTACAGAGTAAATCTGGAAGATACTTCTTCCTTCTGAAATGTAGAGGAAAGAGAATTAAACATTCCCCATGCTTCACTACTATTTAATAAAATAGGCTTCACAGTGTTATTTAAAACATGAATACTTATTTTGATGTTAAGATTTACTGCTAAAAAATATTTCTTCAATTTATAAAAAAAAGTTTAAGGATTTCTTATGCAGTTTTACTAAATGAGCTAGATTAGTTTAAATATATACCGAGAAACTTGTACTATTTTGAAAACCATTCAAGGAGTTTATGCTAAATGTGAATTTCTTCATTATAACATGTCTGTCTGCTTTGTTGAAAATCAAAATCTTTGTTTTGTTTAGTGTTCACATTGAGACACCAATCTTTGCAAAATTTATCAAGCTTTTCTTTTAACCTTTCTGCTGACCTAGATAGTAAAAGAAAATCATCAGCATACATTAACTAACGCATGCAAATCTTTGTATTAACATTGTCCTTGACAATGGTTTGGGAAATCATTTATACATATTTTGAATAAATCGGGACTAAGGTTGTCACCTTGACGCTAATATTTATTGGGAAAAAATCACTGTCTTGTTTTTGGATTTTGACGCATGATTTTTCTCATTTCAAATATACAATGTACTCTCTACATTATTATAGAAGTAAGATAAAGTAAACCCAACCCCAATATCTAGTTAAACAGTCTCTCTTGTTTTGAATTATAGTATTTATTTATAAGGCAGTTAGTTGTGAACATATAGTCTGCCATTTTGGCTTATTTTTTGTAAATCCAATTTGACTATCATGTATAATATTATGTTTCTGGTGACACCTGACAAGTCATCAACTTAGAAATCTGTTCAAAAACTTCCCATTTGTACCCGTTATTGTTATTCCTTTATAATTGTTTGGATCACTTGTATCGTTGCATTTAAAAATTGGTGTAATATAGCCTTCCGTCCAAGATATTGGGTATATACCTGAAGACAAATAAGTATCAAATATCCTCTGTAAGTATTTTAGTAGGGATGTCTGTCAATTTCTTATCATATTATTACAAATGTTGTCCAAGCCTGATGATTTATTACATTTTAAATGTGAAGTGGCTTTGGAAATTTCGGACTCTGTAATGACACAGTCCAATTTATTGAAACGTTTAGTGTTTTCTACCTGTTTCAGTTTTCACAGAGCTGTGTTTATCTACTTTTAATTCACCTTTCAGTTGAGACAACTTTTAGAAATGTGATATCAAAGTTGATGGTGGTACTGTGCATTTGTGACCTGTTTCGTTTTTGTCTGCAGTTAATTGACCTAGTCCCAATACAGCTTTGGATTCTCTTCATGGAAAGAGTCGACTCTACTGATTAATCAATGATTGCCTGTATCGTTTATATTTCTTAAGCTTCCAGTATTAACGTTTCAATTTATAGAAATGTTGTTATAAAGGGATCATATGGAAATCTTGAATAAGTTTCTCCGTAGTTGAGCAAGTCATTAGCTTTAACTTAAAGTAAACTTGCAACCAAACCACTTATTATTATTTTGTTTATTTGTTTATTTTTAATGGGTCTTTTTAGTGACAGATTTTCTGATAATAAAAATATGTTTGATAGTTTTGATGCATCGTCTGTGAAAAGCTGAGTATATAATTCTATTATGTAATTTTGCAAGGTGTCTGATGAAAGTGCATGTTGTCATTTAATGCTGAACTGTCGTTCCAAATACATCTTGGGGTCATATTTTTCAACTGTATTGGAAAATCACTCTCTGCAGGAACACAATATTTTGCAGACATTTCCCACTCATCTAAAAACACAACATTTTCTAGGATTCCCTCTTACACAGTAACATAATCAATTTAAATAAGGAGATGTGGTATGAGGCAACTTTATATCTACCAAAGCTCAAAAATGAAATGAATGTAAGCAATTATAGGCAACCGTATTGCCTTCAACAATGAGAAAAACTCATACCGTATAGTCGGCTATAAAAGGTTCCGACAAAATGCAAAAATACACCACACTTGCACCATTTAGGATATGGCATGTATAATTACCAAATATGTCCAAAAGAAGTCTGCCGTTTAAGACTCTTAACTGCATGTTTAGAAATGCAAACTTAATGATGCAAAAGTTCTTTACCTCTTTAAACATTTCTAGGTCTTGAACTTTTCTTGTCAATATGATTGTCTTTGTCTGCACGTTATGTATTAAAACATTTGGGTAAATTTCGAATAATCGTTCATAATATAATCGATTTCAGATCCTATTCTGGTGTTAAAATCTCCACATAACAAAATCTCGCCCATATTAAAATTTGTGTCTATGCATTCAAGTAGACCACACGTGAGTTCTTGGGCCTTTTTGGTGTAACATGGGAATTTGTACAGTGTACAAATAAATAGGTCCTTTTTAAAATAAAAAAGTATTTTCTAATTTGATCCATTGGCTCTCTGTAGAATAGCTATACCCACAAAATGTCTCTCATTATTAAAGACATTTCTACATATTGGATGATAGTTAAATTTCCCAATAATCCGAATTGAGGAATTATATCCCAAATGATTTTCTACTAAAAAGAATGTCATAATGCATTATATGATTAAGAAAACGGGGATCCTCTGCTAAGAAGTTGATATGAGTGAATGAAATTGTACACAGACAAAGGATAAAAAGTGCGTTAGGTGAAAAACTTCGAGCATAAATCATTGAGAAAAAAGGTTTAAAAAACTAGAATATTGCATACTATAAACAACAACTTGAAATTCCAACATAGTCCCCTAAATTAAGACAAATATTTTTTTTATTAATCAAAGATCAAATAGAGAGAAAAAAGCAGTCGAGAAAAATAAATCTAATAGACTTATTTCGACCGACTTGTATATATGTTCAAGGTATTTTTAAATTCACTATGTAAACATTTAAAAGGATGATCCGGTACAAAAATGACCTTTAACATGTGTGAATTACTTCCTGAATCGAATTTATTTATATATATCTACATACAAAGTAATACACTATAGTAGTGTACTTATATAGATGTCGTTTGTCGTTTTACCCTATCGGGCGCCTCCACACATTTAAGTTCCTGTTTAGTCAAATGGAGTTTAACAAGGCATAGATAAAAACTGCAACAAAATAATTAGAAATGAGTGGTTTATGGAGTAAATTGACATCTTTTTTCGGAGGAGGAGGTAGAAATACACACAATACATCTCATAAGTCAAATAGTAAGTACTAAATAAAAATACGAGGGATCCTGTTCATCAACAATCATATCAACTTCCTTAAACAACTGATATTTGAATGAAGAGGGAGCACTTACGTAATTCGCCAATCTTAATTAGTTACTGAAACATTTTTATAAGGACTAAGCTCTTAACATGCTTGTAATATTTATACAGCCGTAATTTTTCTTCTCGTCCAAGATCAACTTTTTCTTCTCATTTTTCCATGTTTGTTAGCATCCTCATAAAAGTCTCGACATTGAAATATTTTATAATGATATAAGAATCTAGTTTGAAAATGGTCAGTTGACAGTCACCAGTCTTAAATTTCGACTCGTGTACTGCCAAAAAGGGGGATGGGGCTTAAAATATGGATAGAATAACGTCTGAAGTCAAAGTATCCACTTCATTTGCAGGTGTCTCATGGGCAATCATACCACATCTCCTTATTTTTATATTTATATTCGTCCAATTCATTGAAATAATAAATTTTCTTCATCTCGCTAAATATTTATATCTGAAATGATTTGATTAACCTCGGCCTTTGATTTATTTGACAACATAGTCAACGAGTGAGTTTTATTTGCGTTTGAAAATGACTGACTGGTGACTAATGATGAACAGTAATCGTGTATTTTGTATGTTTTTATACAGGATAAATGTGTACACCTTATTTGACTAGAGGGCTTCATAATAAAAAAATAACAAATAACGATAGAATTTACGTATTCGTAGTTATCATAATTGTTAAAGTAATGTTTTCCTTGAAAGACGAAGACTAGCGTTTAAACATCTCTTTTTTTCAATAAAATTCGTCCGGGCTATGTATGAAATATTTTCCACAGGGCATTGAGCGAACATTCACCAATAGTTCAACCAAACAGAAACTGTATTATCCCTTAATTTGAAACAGTGCAATTTGTAAGATGCATGTATCTGAGCATTATTTTACAGTTATTTTCTTGTTTAGTGCTTCCGTTGTGTGTTTTGAATAAACTTTATCATTCAAATATTGTTTATCAGAATTTTACAGTATGAATGCCATTATTTTGACCTTCCATATTATTTTTGTTTGTTAAAATTTTTTTTGTCGTTTTGGTCTACTGATTTGTTAATAGTCAGATTTTCTTTTACTTTTGTTTAATTCTTAAACAATATAAAACAAATAATAAAATCAAATGACGGCCTTCAAACTTATGTTATATGGCGAGCTGTCAAATATATATATACAAGTCTAAATTGAAAACAACGTTCAATATATATATAGCACAAACAACATTTTTCAAAAAGACCAAAAAAGTGAAAAAGTATATTTTAACAAAACGCATTTGACTAACAGGTCGAACAACAAATGTTCTTAAACCCTGCTGACTGCCAAGAACATTTGTTGTTCGACCTGTTAGTCAAATGCGTTTTGTTAAAATATACTTTTTCACTTTTTGGTCTTTTTGAAAATGTTGTTTGTGCTGTATTTAGACCCCTCTAACAAGAAATTTGTTTTGCATGCACACGTATAAAAATTGCGGTTTTTATCCAACACAATCATAGGTTTGAACGTTGTTTTCAATTTAGACTTGTATATATATAGATATATATATTACATATCTACACAGTCTCTGTTGTAATAACTGAACTTTTAATTTTAGAATTCTACCAGCTCATATCGCACATTACTATTCTTTTTGCATGCGTATCTATGCAGTCTCTGTTGTAAATATTTGAACTGCGTCAACTTTGAAAGTTTAGAATTATACAAGAGTGGTTCGATTTTTAACTTGTATAACGTTAAAAATTGTTTTAGTTAAATCAGAATCGATTGATATGATTCATTTTACATCATCGTGATCATACTGATGAAGGATATCTTTTATCCGAAATATTTAAACATACTTATATTTATTGTTTCCTTTTTTTAATAGTGGTCTTGTTTTGTACACTTTTTAGACGTATATATATATACGTTACCATTGTCTTCATTTACGTTATCATCCATGATTATCACAAAGTTGTGAAACCAGCCGGTAGAAAAATGTAGTTAATAAAGAACTTTTAGTGCATTTTTTTTAATCTATATATGAATACTAGAACTTTTTCACTGTCCTGGCAGAAAAATAAGGTAGGTAGGTAGACTAATCTTATTCTGAAAAATAATTTACATAGACTGCAGAGAAAAATTATTTACATAGACTGCAGAGAAAAATTATTTACATAGACTGCAGAGAAAAATAATTTACATAGACTGCAGAGAAAAATTATTTACATTGCTGCAGAGAAAAATAATTTACATAGACTGCAGAGAAAAATTATTTACATAGCTGCAGAGAAAAATATTTTACATAAAATTGAGAATGGAAATGGGGAATGTGTCAAAGAGACAACAACCCGACCATAGAGCAGACAACAGCCGAAGGCCACCAATGGGTCTTCAATGCAGCGAGAAACTCCCGCACCCGGAGGCGTCCTTCAGTTGGCCCCTAAACAGATATGTATACTAGTTCAGTGATAATGGACGTCATACTAAACTCCAAATTATACACAAGATATAGACTGCAGAGAAAAATAATTTACATAGACTGCAGAGAAAAATAATTTACAAAGACTGCAGAGAAAAATAATTTACATAGACTGCAGACAAAAAATAATTTACATAGACTGCAGAGAAAAATAATTTACATAGACTGCAGAGAAAAATAATTTACATAGACTGCAGAGAAAAATTATTTACATAGACTGCAGAGAAAAATAATTTACATAGACTGCAGAGAAAAATAATTTACATAGACTGCAGAGAAAAAATATTTAAAATTCAATAGTGCTAAACAAAAATTGTCTGGACTTTTACTTACTATGCTTAACAAAAATGTTTGAGGGTCGGCTTGATGATTTAGTTTGAGTAGGGAGGCAGGAAATAGAAGTTTTTTCTTTCTTTTGAGAGGAAACCGCAGAAAGCAGGACACCGAAAGTAGCTGTTTTGTAAAAAAAAAATATGATAAAGTTCCTCATTTTACAAGTATTGGCTTTAAATGAGAAGAACCATTTATTTCATTTCTTCAGCTTTACCGAGTTATATTAACTGCAAGATAAGAGCTTACATTTAAACGAAATACGCTTGATTTTTTTTTAAATTTAAATCGTCTGCTGTATTCCACATCACACAAATTTATTTATCAATGAAATGACTATGAGTAAATGGTTATATATATGCATTTAGACTTATTGCACTGTCCTCCGCCTCTTCATATTTTAGACATCCCACTTCTTTCCGAAGTGGGTAGTAATTATTTGAATTACTCCACTATTTGTCACTTTCATATATTGTATCAGCTGTGTAATTTTCTGAATATATCTTCCGTGTGTTTAATTTCCGTATCAAGGATATTACTTACATATATCTGTAACTGTGTATTCATTTACAGCACGGAAATCATTGTCTTTTTATAATTTCCGCTCTTTAGTATGTGTGCATCAGAGTAAAGCAATAACATGTAACTCTATTGAGTTTCTGATTTTTTTGGTCTGCCAAGTTTTTTAAAATCTTAAAAATTAGTGAGAAACCGTTTATGAAATTTCATGTTAAAATATAAAATTGTATAATTATAAAAGACCAGCAATCATGGCAATGGTGAATGAATGTAAAACCAAAAAATGCGTTCGCTTAGTGTATCATTGCCCATCAATGAATAATAAACACTTTACTATAATTGTTAACATCATTTTATATAATGATAATGCTGATTGATTGCATCAGAATCTATTTCACTTATATCCCGAACTTTCTTTGACTTTAAACAACACAAAGATATAAACATTTTTTTTCTACTATGTATTTTTATTTCATGAATTTTGTGTGTTCTAAACCGATTTTGACTGTTAGTTTTTATACGACACTCAATCTGATTAAAATATGGATCCTATTTTATACATGTATAATTGGCATATAATGTAACAACCTTGTAAGCAAATCTGTAAATTAATCAGATTGTACGTCATTACAATTATTTTGTTCGGTCGTGACATGAGACATTGTAAGACATTGTTAGACATTGTTAGACATTGAAAGCCATTGTTAGACATTGTAAGACATTGTTAGGATATGAACTAAATTATTATGAACTGAATCCTAATCCAATGGCTGATGCAAATGAACAAATATTATAGGTATCCAAATGCACTGTCAACAATATGAATAATCAAGCACTTATACAAAAAATATATCTATATATATGTTCCGGACCATGTGAGTATTTGAACCATATGAGAATAATGATCATGTACCATATGAGTATATACTCGTTTGGTTATTAATTCGCCGAACTATATGAGTATTTAGACCATATAGGTATTTTTAAAATAAATTCTAAAACTTTCTTTGCAGGAACACACAGCTCATTCTCCTAACCCAAAACGACACTTGTTACTAACTGACTATCTTTATCTTTGACATATCGCCTGAATCTTGTTGTATCTGTTATCTTGCTATCGCTAGAGTCACTTTAAAGCGCCTTCATCCTATCGGCTTTTTCATCCGTAAGTGAAACCACAGGCATTTGGGGAAATGACCTTTGTTTCATTTCTCCCCTAGTATTTAAATTATTATTTCAGAAACAAAATTTCTTTTAATATTTACTTATTTTCATTATATTGACAAGTTCTTGTTCTTATTTATACTATCTTACTGTTATTGTAAGATCGTATGAATAGGAGAAAGAACACATTAAATAACTAGAAACAAATTGAAATATTTAAAAAATTTTGATTTAAAAAAAAACCTGAAAAATTTTACACCAAAATATTTTTTTAAAAAAGAAAGAGGGTTCAATAACTAAGTTTCCTGTGATTCAAGCGATTGACTTCTTGTTTGGCTGCTCAGTAAGATATTTCTTTCAGTTATTTCGACACATTGTGTTTCGTAAGGACAACTTTAACGATTTTACCATATGATCAAGGAAGTCAAAATTGCAATTAAAAAATTAATTTATGACACCTTTTCAACGTTCATCATGTTAATTACCCGGACCATATGAGTATATTCGCATATGTTCATAACCATCCGCGTATGGTCCAAATACTCATATGGTCCGGAACATATACACATATGTTCAAAAATGTATTATATAGTCTTCGTGACTGGTGCACATGGACAGGTATACTAAACAGTCATCCACATTCAAGAGTTACCAAAAGCAGGTGCTGAAAAGACATTATAATGTGTTTCGTTAAAATTTAGTGCACAAGTTATTTGGAATTATTAAAATAATTAATACTGATGTAGACTATATGTTCTTGGACCTGTACAGGAAGTTTTATCTAGCACTAATTGTATATTTTTATAGTTGATATTCACCCCATAAGTACCAAGTGTTAGATTAGTTTTTTTGATATTAAAGAAATTTCTTGGTATTCCTAAACGGAAGATTTTATACACACAGAAGAAGAAGTATACTTAACAACAAAATTATTTTCATTTACCTGTGTATAATACTACGCAGGTTTCTTCAAAAGTGATGATTTTCTAAAAATTTCACAGTGATATCATACTTTAACTTTGTTTAAACCTGTTTATTTTACTTTTGACTTTAATTATTTATCCCTTGTAATTTTTTATTAACTGTGTATTTGCATTCAGGTATCACAGGTCAAATTTATTCGTTCATTGTGTGTTAATTTACGTTTTTTGATTGAGTTAAGCCTTCCAATTGATATTTTATAGTGTGTTTTTCTATGTTGTGATGTTGTACTATTGTTTCAGAAAAGGGAGAAGGTTTGGTACCATTAAAACGTTTAATCCCGCTACAAATGTTTGCACCTGTCCTAAGTCAGGAATCTAATTACAGTAGTTTTCGTCTGTTTATGTAGTTCATACGTGTTTCTCGTTTCTCGTTTTTATATAGATTAGACCGTTGGTTTTTCCGTTTGAATGGTTTTACACTAGTAATTTTTTGGGGCCCTTTATAGCTTGCTGTTCGGTGTGAGCCAATGCTCCGTATTGAAGGCCGTACCTTGACCTATAATGGTTTACTTTTACAAATTGTAACTTGGATGGAGAGTTGTCTCATTGGCACTCATACCACATCTTCCTATATCTATATAGCACAAGTTATCCCAATACCCTCAGAAAAAAATTCTTGAAAAATGGGATAAATTATGGAGATTTTTTAACTACATCTCCCTATTTTCATCATTCCTTCACTAAATAAACTGATACTTGATAGTCAACGTATCAAAGTAACCACAAAATTCACTGGCACACAGTCATAGTTAGCTTCTCTCATTATTTTAATAATGAAATGCAAATCTTAGGAGACAATGCGATTTATCTTCAACTTCATAACTTGAGCATTTAGGACAGGCTCCATCATCGAGGAATCCCTGATATCTTCCACTTTCAATCTTTAGAGTGTGTGTTGACACGCGCAATATTATCATTTTTTTTCTTATATCAACACAGTGAATTACAGATAAATATTTTTCATAGTAAAATTAAATTTTAAATATATCTAGTACACAAGCAAGGTTTACTCCTAGCATTTCTGTAATTTCTGTAAATTAATAGATAAACCTACAATTTACATCTAGGTTTTGCTTGTTCATTGGATTTGCAGACTTAATTATTTTTAGTATAACATTTAAAGCAGCCAACATTGAATGCTTCCTGGCTTCAGATATTAACTTTGATTTTTGAAAGGCACTATCTAGTAGTGGAAATATTAACTATTTTTTCTTTAATATTTAACCATACATTACACAAATATATAAATATAAATGCAGTCGGCCTAATTCAGACAAAACAGCTATAGATGTTTCTTTTGAGTGGACACCAAGAATATATTTACAAAATTTAAAATGCAATTTTTCTGAAGGACATTTTTCAAATGTTTGGTTAAAGGTCAACAAACCATAGATTGATTTAGATGTTTAAGTTTCCCACACATCACATATAAAAATAGGTTTAACTGTATGAATGATCGAACAAATGCATACTAGTTTTAACTGTTGGATTCACTGGTTATAAATCTGTTCATACTCTGAAGCATGTCTTTAAGACTTTTTTGACAAACTTCTTCTCGCAGAAAGGGAAATGGTCTTGGAGCACAGAAATGAATACTAGTACCAAGATATTGAATGTGTCAATTTCGGCATTACTACACTTTAATACATGATTGATATTTTTGTGGTTATGTTTATTTTGTACTGTTTCGACTGGCGTTGTCTGTCTCGACACAATGTCCGTGCGATAGATTTTGTTCACTGTTTTTTTCTGGAAATTTACAATATTTTTCTTTTTATTTATCTAAAAAGTTACTGTTTTACCTAGTCACAATTAGATACGGGTTTTTTTCATTGACATTTTTTGAGAGAGAAAAAAATCGGTGTTGTTAGTTTCTGCAGATTTTTGTTAATTCTTACTGTTCAAAGTTCATTTGTCCAACTTTCCTTTGTCGATGTCTTATAGATCACACTACCATCTGGTTCATTTTAATAAAGTAAAATTACTTTTGCTGTTTTCATATGTTTGATGACTTTGCTCTTATGTTTTCGACATGCTGTTGAAAGATAAACAGTTGTCTCACGATTCTATCCTGATTGTAGTCTTTACGTCAATGAATACTAGTTCTACATATAAAGCCGATCACTGATGTCATTATATACCAAGTGTATATCGACAATGGTATTGATGTTCAGAACATCATAGCTTTTCACTAATTCTTTTAAACCATTCATAACTTGTCTTTTAAGATTGATTGAATGATTGTTAGTTGCTTAACGTCCTTTTTTAAGACTAGTGCCTGCATGTTGTTTGTTGCAAGATATACACTGTTATTTACAGGAGTTAAATGTTACCTTTCTTTGATGTTCAATTGACATTTTTTATTGTTATATTTCATCTGGTTTTTCATTTCAGGTAAGAAGAAAAAATCCGAGGATTCCGTAGAAAACGGAGGTCAAGAACAGTACAAAGGTATATTGATAAGACTCCATTAATTAAGCCTAGCCCGTATAAAATAAAAATAACACTTCATGTGGAATGCTTGCGTCTGTTGACCAACCTAGTCTCGCTCCATATGGAATCTTTACGATTGTTAAACCCACCTGATCCAACGCCATGTGGAATCATTCCGTCTGTTGACCAACCTAGTTTGGCTCCATATGGAATCTTTACGATTGTTAAACCCACCTGATCCAACGCCATGTGGAATCATTCCGTCTGTTGACCTAGCTATTCTCGCTCCATATGGAATCTTTACGATTGTTAAACCTACCTGATTCAACGCCATGTGGAATCATTCCGTCTGTTGACCTACCTAGTCTCGCTCCATATGGAACCTTCACGATTGTTAAACCCACCTGATCCAACGCCATGTGGAATCATTCCGTCTGTTGACCTACCTAGTCTCGCTCCATATGGAATCTTTACGATTGTTAAACCCACCTGATCCAACGCCATGTGGAATCATTCCGTCTGTTGACCTACCTAGTCTCGCTCCATATGGAATCTTTACGATTGTAAAACCCACTTGATCCAACGCCATGTGGAATCATCATTCCGTCTGTTGACCAACCTAGTCTCGCTCCATATGGAATCTTTACAATTGTTAAACCCACCTGATCCAACGCCATGTGGAATCATTACGTCTGTTGACCTACCTAGTCTCTCTCCATACGGAATCTTTACGATTGTTAATCACACCTGATCCAACGCCATGTGGAATCATTCCGTCTGTTGACCTACCTAGTCTCGCTCCATATGGAATCTTCACAATTGTTAATCCCACCTGATCCAACGCCATGTGGAATCATTCCGTCTGTTGACCTACCTACTCGCTCCATATGGAATCTTTAAGATTGTTAAACCCATCCGATCCAACGCCATGTGGAATCATTCCGTCTGTTGACCTACCTAGTCTCGCTCCATATGGAATCTTTACGATTGTTAAACCCACCTGATCAATCGTCATGTGGAATCATTCCGTCTGTTGACCTACCTAGTCTCGCTCCATATGGAATCTTTACGATTGTTAATCCCACCTGATCCAACGCCATGTGGAATCATTACGTCTGTTGACCTACCTAGTCTCGCTCCATATGGAATCTTTACGATTGTTAAACCCACCTGATCCAACGCCATGTGGAATCATTCCGTCCGTTGACCTACCTAGTCTCGCTCCATATGGAATCTTTACGATTGTTAATCCCACCTGATCCAACGCCATGTGGAATCATTCCGTCGGTTGACCTACCTAGTCTCGCTCCATATGGAATCTTTACGATTGTTAATCCCACCTGATCCAACGCCATGTGGAATCATTCCGTCTGTTGACCTACCTAGTCTCGCTCCATATGGAATCTTTACGATTGTTAAACCCACCTGATCCAACGCCATGTGGAATCATTCCGTCTGTTGACCTACCTAGTCTCGCTCCATATGGAATCTTTACGATTGTTAAACCCACCTGATCCAACGCCATGTGGAATCATTCCGTCTGTTGACCTACCTAGTCTCGCTTCATATGGAATCTATACGATTGTTAAACCCACCTAATCCAACGCCATGTGGAATCATTCCGTCTGTTGACCTACCTAGTCTCGCTCCATATGGAATCTTTACGATTGTTAAACCCACCTGATCCAACGCCATGTGGAATCATTCCGTCTGTTGACCTACCTAGTCTTGGTCCATATGGAATCTTTACGATTGTTAAACCCACCTGATCCAACGCCATGTGGAATCATTCCGTCTGTTGACCTACCTAGTCTCGCTCCATATGGAATTTCTGCGATTCTGATTGTTATCGACCAATATTAGTTGGTAACTGAACATAGGATTGTTTTACTTACTGCATTACACGCTCTGCTGAAATAAAACATTTTTTTTGTTTTTACTTTAAGCATTGAAGTCTTTTTTTTACCTTAAAAAAAATGTACCTAAAAGCTTGCAACACGATCCAAAACCATAATAGAATAATTCAGTTATTTTCAGACCATGTAAGATATGGAGCTATCTTCTTGTGACCAAAATAATTTCTTGCAATGCTTAATTTATGAAACTTGTACCGAGACGCACAATTCTTATTTCATATCATTTCCCAAAATAACAAGTTTGTTAAAATCATTCTGCCATGATAAATGTTTTGTTGTTAAATGCCTGATACAACCCTGCTGTCCATTATATCATTTTGAGCGACAAGACATAAATTGTTAACACTCAAAATATATCAGCGCTTAGAGAATACTCAGGAAGTGCTTAACTTAACACTGTCAGGTAGAGTTTACATTAACGAATCAAATATATTATAGATTCGCAATAAGGAAGAATTTCCTGTACAAACAAATAGTGTGTATGTTTCGATGATTTGGAATTTCAAATAATACAAACAAATGATTTGGAATTCAATGGTTGGTATATTAATTGCGTCATGTTCGAACATTTTAAACTTTTATTATTTCTAAAGGGAAAAGTAAAAAAAAAAACAGACTCATTGTTCGACTAAGTTCATTGACCATAATAAATTTTCTATGTTCTAAGTTAGGGTTAGGGCAAACACTTCCCGATAACTAATTTCACCGTGGCAATACGGACATTTAAAAATATAAATCAAAATTCACAGTATCACAGTTTCCTTTGTGTATTTCAAAGTTTAAAAAATACAATTTCGTATTGCTGGACAAGTAATTAAATGATTGATGATTATTTAAAAGTAAGAAAATACCAAGTTCCCAACAACAACAAAACCGAAATAATACTATGGCTATAAGAAAGTAAGAAGAAATGACAGATGATCACAGATGTTTCCATAGCACATTACACAGAAAAGTAATTTTTATTTCGAAAATTTAATGTTGATGGTGAATCTTTTATAAAGTCCTTGTTTTCCTTCAGACTTTTTTTTAAGTATGGCGACTTTGAGCTAGATATAATGTAAAGACGCCTGTCTATTTTTGTAGTCTGTAGTTTGACATCTTTTAGTCATTTGTCTTGATCATTTCTGATCCATTTGACAACCCGCTCGATTCTATTAATTCATACGAATAGATCAACACGAACTCAAACAAAAACAGGAAATGAACGCCATGTGCGCCCGGAAGGGTAAGCAATTCTTGCTCCACTAGAGGGCATCCGTCGTGCTAGATATAATCAATATTATTAATAAATGTTATAAACGAAAAAAGAGATATTGTAGGTATGAAGTCGATAATTCATCTTTACAAGTATCTATGAGTAAGATGCACATAAATAATCCTGTATATTGCGTCTTGTTTCAAATATTAAGAATGTGAAATTGTTTGTTTTAATTTTCTGCAACCTCAGATATAACAATGACAACAACCTTTAATAAAAATTAATAGAAATTTTTTTATTATTATAATAATGGTTATAATGATCTATAATAGATTGTCATAATGTAGACCTATAACCGTTTTGCTTCAGTGTTGTTGAAAACCACATGGTGGCCTTTTAATAGGAATAAACAACAAAAATACAAAAAGATATCTCGAAGAAAAAAAACAGTGTTCATTAATAGTGCCTGTACAATATTCCGAGCTCTAACTCGTCCTTAAAAAATTGGAAAGTTACACAGAAACTACCACCATAGATCCTCCATCAACATAAATTTCTCCAAATAATATAATATTGAAATATGATAGGACAAGCACTGAAGAGGTTCCGGTCTTAGGATAGGTACATTAATATGTGGCGGGATTTTGAGATCTTAACCGTCCCCTTTACCTTCTTTCCTTTCTCATCGACATTATTACACCATCATGATATATTTTCTTACAAAGATTATACTACTGTGCATGATTTCTGAGAATTTCTAGTTAATTTCAAAATTACATAATATTGCATTGTTTGTCTTGGTTGACAGTTCAGAAAGTAACACGAACGTATGAGGAAATAGAACTACCAGAAGATAAAGATGAAAAGGAAACCGTAGATTACACAGGTAAGACTGTGACGATGAAACTGCATGCGATCATCTTTTAAGAAAGCAAATGTATACGGAAAACTTTATATTGATTTTCATATGTTCTGATGTATTTCAAGGTAAATATTATATTTTTTTATTCAGTTCACAAAGCAACGAGATCGTATGATGAGATAGAATTACCGGAGGACCGGGAAGAAAAGGGTACAATAGACTACACGGGTAAGTGTCTTACAGGATGTCTTACTAGGTCAAAACATTATATCATAGTCCATTGTTACCCAAAACACATTAAACTCGATAAAACCTGGAAATGTAGACGTATAATAGCAATACAAATATATACACAGATTTTTTTATTCCTAACAATTAGAAAATGGAGTGGTTTGACATGTCGATGGAAAAAATACAACGGTCCTCTTACGTAACAAAATGATATTTCCGATTTCCAAATTTAAAATTTTCTCATAAAGTAAGTTTGCCAAATTATACAAGTTGTTTTAGGATATGTAAAAAGTACATATCCTGACATGAAAGAGCAAATCTAATTATTTTGTGCCTTAAGTTGTCGTTTTTAGCATACGAATGTAAGTATATGTAGTTGTAGTGTTAACTATCGTATACATTTAAAAATATCTAATTATAAACGCGCGAATGGCGTACCAAATTATAAGGTATCTTAGATGAGTTTTACAGCCACTTGTTCGATGTCAGTGTTGGTAGGCTTTTTCCCCCGAAGGTGTCACCAGCCCAGTAGTCAATACTTTCATGCCGACATGAAATATCATTGATATGTTCATTTTCTGTAAATTGACTGTTTATAAATGTTGAAATATTCAAAGCCTTAAGGTTGTTCTACCCTCAGGTATGGATTGCCTTAGCCGTATTTGGTACAAATTTTAGGAATTTTCGGTTTTCGCTGCTCTTCAACTTTGTAAACTTTGTAATTGATTTGACCATTCAACTGTTTTGATTCGAGCGCCGCTTGCGAGTCTTATGTAGACGAAACGCACTTCTGGCATACCAATTTATAAGACTGGTATCTTTGTTAGAGTTTTTAGATCTAATGACCATCTTTGAAGTAAGAGAAAAATGCAATTTTGAACATTTTATCTGCATTATATCGACTGTATATCCTAGAAAGAAGTAAAATTATGCTACTTTCTATTTCAGTTGAGAAAAAACCTCGTGCATATGAAGAGGTTGTGCTACCAGAAGACAACAGGTTGTCGCAGGTCCTCTGCATGCTTTGCTTATATATTTATATAATCTCTCTCAAAATCATTATGGCATTAAATGATTCTTTTATTCAATTATTTTGAATTTTTATAACTTCTTAAGAATTTGTTTATTCGATTTTATTTACTTGCTTGTGGGCTGTTCCAAAGCGATAGGTCTATGATATGATAGTCACCAATCCTGGTAATGACAGCACATTTCAAAAATACCAAAAGTAGACCCTTTCAGTAGAAAAAGAGCAACAAAGGAGCAGCTATAGTATAACAATGATTGATTGATTGATTGGTTGGTGTTAATGCCACTTTCAGTACTATTGTGCTATTTCGTGGCGGTCAGTTTTTATTGGCGGAGGAAGCCGCAGTACCACGTGCGGGATTCACAAACCCAGTGTTGACAGGCTAGTAGTTCAACTACTTAGACCACTCGGCCAACGTTGTCCCCAAGTGTATCAATAACCAATATTTATATAGAGCAGTTTGCTCTCAAAAATTTAAATTTGATAAAACCCAAATCTATTGATAAATATTTTCATACACATATGGGCTACAATCGTTCAGATATTTTCTCACTAAACAAATTTGTAATCTAAAGATGTATAAATGTAAAATATATATACTTGTTTAAGATTTACTTTGATTAGAGCTTGTGGCAAAGCTTTATAAAAAAAAAAACTACACAGAAAAAAATCAGTATTATGATAACATGAATTAACTATATTAAAACATTCAAATTTTGTAACAATATAATATATCTAAAGGCTTTTCGATATAACCACGAATAAAATAGTGCTATATTATAAAATTCGAATTTTCGTGGATATTTAGGACAGTAATTGAAACTTTGTGCACCTTCTCCTTCTATGATCTTCTATATATATATATATATATATATATACTAGCTTGAAAACGATCACAATTGCGTGGTAACGTCAACAGTGTTATGGCATTGTCATGGGTCTTTGGATGTCTTTTCCAAACAAAATGTTCTTTTAATCAAAGTTGTCAGTAAAGTCTAAAAAGTGCATTAGCTTGCATTCAAATTTATTGTCGGGAAATAGTGTTTACTTACTTTTGTAATTGTATCTAATGTGCACATCTTAATTTATTTATTGTTGCATTTTACATTTGTTGAAAGCTTGAAGTGAACATGCTTTAAATGTTATTTCCCTTCTTTCAAATACCTTTGATGTACAGTTGCAAATCTTTCACGCCAATAAGTTAAATAAAACGATACATGGTTTAGATATTTAATATATATATATATACCATTTTACTTCTAGATAATTTGTATTCATTCAATAAGTTTATATACTACTGGTACTACTGGTTTGCTATACCTTATCGCTATTTAGGTGTCAGGCCACCAATTCACCCACTCCAATTTAGAACGTGAGCTACTCCGACAAAAAATAGTGCTTTTGATGTCATTGTTTACTTAAACTAACAAACAAATTTGCAGAAATGAAACTTTTGGTGAAAGAATAATATACTTTGACCATTTTGAGCCAAAATTTACTTGTCTATGAGCTTACATTAAAAATTGAGGATAAATGCTATAGTTTAAAAATGAAGCGACTGGATGATCGAGACTAAAGAAAAGTAGTTTGGACATCGTTTGATATCAACTCGAGTTATTCAATTTCATTATTAATTACAAACTCGCCAAAGGTTCGTATATTATATTGAAATTAAATAGTTTGTTGATATCAAGCGATATTCAGTTCTCACTCGTTATTATAGGTCGATCATATGAAAATTAACTGAATCAAAGGGTTTGTTTGTCTTTATTATTTATGCATTTTACATCTTTAGCTGAAATGTTTGTTTTAATTTGCATGTTTTAATGTACATTACATAGTGTTACGAAAGCAGATATTTGCATGTACATTATCAATAGTCATGTTCATAAATGAATCGGAATATGAAATAGATTTAGAAACCTTGTTTTGGAAGTTAAATATACCAGTAAAAATATTTTATTATCACAATGTTTTGTTGCTCGACTATACGTATCAATCAAACTTTGTTATAGATAAGACTGTAAAGTAAATAGATTACTGTAAATTTTGTTGACACTTTCAGGTTTGATCTGCTCTTCAACATTTTTCTAAGATTTTGGATATTTAATATTTTGGCCTCGAGCATCACCGAAGAGACAGTAATTGTCGAAATGCGCATCTGGTGCATTAAAATTGGTACCGTTTATGTTATTTCAGAGTATTTCCCAGCCTATACATTCATATTTCCGATGAACACATACAAATGAATTAACGGATATGTTGTGTGCGTGTGTCAATGAGACAGCAACCCAATATTATGACAAAACAAACCAAAAACATGAAAGGTCAACGATATGGTTTTAAATAAAATAAATAAATATATCGATAGATTTCAGTGTATATTTTGTAACAAACAAATATCAAAATAACATATATTTGTAACCTTACCATCCAAATATGACCTATTAAATGATTGTAAGAGGGGCTGTGCATAGTTAGATGAGGAGTACACGTCAATGAAACAGCAACCCAATAACACAACAAAACCAAAATACATCTAGAGGTGAACATATTCTTTAACAACAGACACGTGTCTGTACCGATTATCAGGTTGTCTGCATATTGATATTGTAAAATATCAGCTGCGAGTCACAATATTAAGCTTTTTGTCGAGTGAGCGCAGCGAACGAGATCAAAAAGCCTTCATATTGTGTCGAGCAGCTGATATTTTACAATCTCAATATGCAGATAACCTGATAATCGATTTATCGGGCTGTATTTGCGTCTTTTGGAAGTGTTTTCTTTGTTTCACCAGCAAACCGGGAGAGGACTTGATAAGTTCGGGTCAAACTTATCAACGTCGGTTCAAACGTTATGACGTCGCTGATATGTCCGGGTCAAAGTTATTAAGCTTAGGCCGGGTCAACGTGTTTGACGTCACAAAGCCGTGATATGCAATTTTATTAAGAGCTAAGCAGAGTGATATAGACAGTGGGACGACCGATAATTACAATATATCAAATCAAATATCGTCTAGAGACGTCCTTAATAAATTTAACAGAAACTAATACTTTTTAATAACATTGACAGACAGTAAAATAAAATCATTTGTGAACCATTAATTATCAACTATTATTTTTATACAGGAAAAGCGACCGGTCCTGAACTATGTGGAGGTCGAATTCACCAAACCACCTTCCAAAAAACAATCAATCAACAGAAAAGATAGTAAGACTGAATATGCCGACGTCACTGTAAAAAATAAGACTGTTATTGTTAAATAAACTTGTAAATTATATGTAACTTACACTGTGTAAACAAAACAAATAAATATGTAACTTACACTGTGTAAACAAACAAAAAATAAATGTGTTACTTAAATGTGTAACTTACACTGTGTAAACAAATGTGTAACTTACACTGAGTAAACAAAACAAATAAATGTGTAACTTACACTGAGTAAGCAAAACAAATAAACGTTTAACTTACACTGAGTAAGCAAAACAAATAAACGTGTAACTTACACTGAGTAAACAGCAATTTATAGTAAATTTGTAATGAAAAATAAACTTTTAAAGGCATATAAAATGCCACTTTGTTATTCATGGTGACATCAACTTTGTTATTCATGGTGACATCCACTTTGTTATTCATGGTGACATCAACTTTGTTATTCATGGTGACATCCACTTTGTTATTCATGGTGACATCCACTTTGTTATTCATGGTGACATCAACTTTGTTATTCATGGTGACACCAAATTGATAAGGATGGTTGGAATGTCAAATGGCTCAAAACAATTATTCAGTATTTGTATGCTGATGGCGACTCCTGACATTGACAATTTTAGACAGCACTTAGAAATTCTTTCAGCTGGAGCACCGTCCCTAATTATATAAATTGAATGATTTCATATGTATATGTATTGTTACATTATCCAAATGCACCATTTTATTCTAGTCTACACATGTAAATAGATTTATTGTTTTCGCTGAAATGATCACCTGATTATCGTACCATGACTTTCACTTTTTTATATTTGTATTAATCTTTGAGTTGTTACAGCATATAAAAGTATGTGCATCCCTTCCATTAGTTAATGGGGAATTTCCTTTGGGGGGAGAAGGGGGGGGGGAGAGTATCATATTGCCCACTCTTTGCTGTTTGTCTATATTTTGTATTGTTGACATATACTCCAGATTTTGATTCGTTTCGTTTTTAGGTGGTATTATTCTCTTGATTTCTATTTTGAGAGACCACTATTAAACCTTACCGTGCAAGGGTCGTAATATTACAGCCACTGCCGACAACCTGTTTTGTTGTTGCTCCAATTGCTTTCTTTATTTTCAGAAGCTTAAAATTAATATAATGTGAAGTTTAAATCAAAATTTTTTTGCCTGGTAAACTTTGATTTTAACAGTAAATATATCCCCGAAAATGGATCAGCTTTAATATTATTTCAGTTGAGCACTATGTAACAAATACAAATCTTAAAAGTTTTTTATTTAGAGAACTCAGATTCTATTTTGAGTATCGTTTTTATTTAACATATTATTTGTTAATTTGTATTATAATCTGTACCGCTATAAATTATTTCATAATAAAATGTTGTTGTAAACTAATTATGGTGTTAGACTCTTTAAATGCATGATACCCCGGCCACGTGAAACGACAGAGATAAAGAAAAAAGAACATCAACGGTACCAATTTAACTGCATCAGAGACGCATTTTAATGTCTCCTCAGTGATGTTCGATGATAAAAACCTAATACAACCGTTGAAGAGCTGAAAGTTGTAAATTTTCTATTTGACACCATTCTATAAACGTAATGACAATCAAGTTTATCGGCAGGTTGTAGACATTCCAATGAGCATCAATGGTGTCCCTTTAATAGTAGACTTGTTTGTGTATTGTTAAGAATCATGACCAAACTAAGTAACTATCAGTCTAAATGCCATTCAACTAATTTTGATCGCCCGTTACCTTTATGGTTTATATTTGCTGTAGACAATCATAAACTCTCATTATACTGCAGAAATTTATCCAAAGAAACTTATATACCTTAAATAAATCTAATATAAACAGCAAAGAAGATTTGGTATGATTGCCAATGAGATAAATTTCCACCAACAAACCAAATGACATAGAAGGTTAGCATCTATAGGCCACCGTACGGCCTTCGTCAATGAGCAAAACACATACCGCACGAAAAAACGAACAACTTTATGTAGAAAACAATAAACGAAAAATAAATGCATGTTATATACAGCAAGAAAATACAACCACTGAATTACCGGCACCTGACTAGGGAGAGGCACATACAAAATGTGGCAGGGTTAAACATGATTGTAGGCGCGCCAACGCTCCCCTTACCTGTGACAATAGTCTAACAGCAGAACATAAGAACAGAGTATCAAAATTAGTTGAAAAGAGCTTAACTCATCACTTATTTAAAGGACCGTAAAAAAAAGGAAAAATAGCAATAGGGAACGAAAAATCGTCCTTTTTGTCGTATTTTTTTGTGTATAGCTTCCCGTGTAAAACTGAAATATCGACGTAAAGGAAAGGACAGTTATTGCTGTTAACATTACATTTATTTAAGGTTAGTTCGTCTGGGTGAATTTCGGCAGTATATTTAGAGAATTCTTGTTTATTAACGAATAAATATCATCAAGGTAACGGTAACTGTTGTTGAATTTATCAAATAAATGCAATTTAGACGGGTCTTTACTGAGCTTGGCCATAAACTGTGATTCATAACAGTACAGGAACAAGTCTGCTATTAAAGAAATGCAATTGGTGCCCATAAGAATACCTACAACCTGTCGATAAACTTATTTGCCGAAACGTACATAAATGTTGTCAAGGAGAAAATTGACAGCTTTAATCGTCTCATCACACTTTTAGTATAAGTATATCTAGCATATTTATCTTTTTTTTTCATTACAGAAAAAGGCTTTATATGAGTTCCAGCAGACACATTTGCAATCAGATTTTTCAAACGACCATTTAATTTAATAGGAACACTTTTGTTTGATAAGGTTGTGTGGAAGTGAAGTGTAAAGAGTTAAAAAGTCAAACATGTTCACCGAATGAAATAGACCATCAAAAGCAAATAATCTATCTAAAACATCCAAAGAATATTTTACACTCCAATAATAGTTGATTCCACTATTTTCATATATTTTATTACAAAAGTTTATGATAAGTTCTTTGATAGTAGTTAAGGAACTAGTTAAAAGCACGTAAAGATTAGTTGTTAAACACCAACTAGAGGCTGAAAGGAAACGATTTTTTGTTTTGTTCAGGTAACCAATACATTGTAGGGACTGCTCAGTCATGTACTTAATTAGATGATTAGCTTATTTCAAATGTTAACCACGAATAATTTTCATTTACATGTATTAAATCAGGGTGCTTACCGAACTCCAAGGAAAAGTCAAAACAGAAAGTCGTTCAAATCCCACTTTTTTTCAAATATATATAATTATAGACTGTCCCTGGTCCATGCTTATTTAATTAACAAAATAAAATTATTTGAAAAAAAATGTTCATTCATATATTTATAATTATCTCATTAAACATATTAACCTGATATATAAAACCGCTCTTACTAAAATCTTACAAGCTTGATTCCTTATCAATACAATGGTTTACGTCTTATTTACATAAAAGATCTCAAAAAGTTATAATGAAAAAAATGCAATCATCTACCAGATCATGTTTAGGAATACCACAAAGGAGTGCTCTTGGTTCTTAATTATTCCTTTTATACATAAATGATTTGCCCCTTTTTACACTAACAATTGTTCTATATGAGATGAAACATCTGATTCTAACATTGAAAAAAAAAATAAAATTACGAAATCATGCTACAAGAACTATTCTTAATGCTATACATGATGCTCAATCATTACAGCTACTTCAAAAACTGGGTTGGTTAATTATTCATCGTAGAATAGAATACCACTCATGGACTTCTTTACCACAAATAAAAAATATATTATATGTCTCTGCCACATAGTATAACAATTGTGGAAACTATTGATTCGTTTAAAGAAAGGTATACAGAATATTAAATGTATATGCAAGAAAATCATTGAAACATTTTATTTCACAAAATTCATATTGTACTGTAGATTTGTACAATAGATATAAGAAGATGTGGTATGAGTGCCAATGAGACAACTCTCCATCCAAGTCACAATTTGTAAAAGTAAACCATTATAGTTCAAAGTACGGCTTTCAACAGGGAGCCTTGGCTCACACCGAACAGCAAGCTATAAAGGGCCCCAAAAATGACTAGTGTAAAACCACTGATTCAAACAGGAAAACCAACGGTTTAATCTATATAAAAAAGGAGAAACGATAAAAATTTATGAACCACATCAACAAACGACAACCACTGAACATCAGGTTCCTGACTATAATGTATATATTATTCATTTTACGGGAATCCTATTGTTTGAGGGGGAAATTATGGTGTGCTACCCTTTTAAAATAACGTATTTATTGCCTTGAGTGTGCATTTTTCACTGAACTAGTACACATTTTTGTTTAGGGGGCAGCTGAAGCCCGCCTCCGAGTTCGGGATTTTCTCGCTGTGTTGAAGACCCATTGGTGGCCTTAGGCTATTTTCTGCTCTTTGGTCGGGTTGTTGTCTCTTTGACACATTCTCCATTTCCATTCTCAATTTTATCCGTGCGTTTTGGAATCGTTTTGGGGCATCGTCACTTCCTTCCCATGTTGAGCGAGCGGTTGAAAAAATATGATGCTATATTGCACGAATTATTCGGCAAATTAAATTCTTATAATTGATAATCAGCTCTGCTGTCATTAGGGAATTGTGATTCAGTACCTACGGAACAAACATTATTTCTAGTTTATCCTGCATAATGACGATAACGAAGACGCTTGATGATCTTTGATAGTGCAGGGATACCGGCGATCCCCTCTATATGGTAAATTACGTCATAAAGGCGCGCATAATTGAGGAACTTTTCCGGTGAAGGACATAAATCGAAAGTGGTCTATTACCGTAACAGGTACGCAAATGGGCGATCTCAAGAATTTTATGAAATTTTGCATACTAGAGCACGAGGGAATCAGTACACATGAACATCGAAACAGTTATATCTATAACTTTTATCCTTTCTGAGATATTGCAAATAAAATAATCAGAAAATAATAGTACAAATGTAAGCGGAATACACGTAAATATCGTTAAAAAGTTCAGCAATTTTGATTTAGAATGAATTTTTCTCGAAATAATCTCCTACGAATTTCTTTAAAAATGATATGTTATTACTACTGAAATTTCCGTTTTATTGATATTAAATTAATAAGGGGTCACCGAATTCGTTTTTCTGAGTATGAATAATTGAATCTTCTGTACAGCGTCTCGGAAAAAAGTGCCTAAAAGGTGAAAATAATCGTGACTTCGTCGCTAGAAATGTTATTTTTCGACGTTTTTAGGTGTTACAAAGAGACTGGAATTTTCATATTGATAAAACGGAAATTTTAGTGGCAATAACCAATCAATTTTAAAGAAAATTCGTAGGACACTTTTTTGAGAAAAGGCAATTTAAAGTCAAATTTTTCAATATTTTTTTTAATATTTACGTGCATCCTATACATATGTACTGCTTTCTACAGAATATTCAGTTTGCTATATATCCCAAAGTATAAAAGTTACTTATATAATTTTTCGATACTCAATTGCATTTCATCATGCTCAAATTGCTTGCAAAATTTCATAACCTCAGTCTGTGAGATTGCCCATTTACGTACATGTTACCTTAAACTGTTTGTGTTCAGTAATAAAATAGATAAAACACTTTAATAAAATCTTTAATATAAATCGACACGTACCAGGAGAATCAGGATAAGACCGCTGGTTGGTCTTCTCGTGTGAATATTTTTGTTTGAATAAAGCTGTTGCTCATATATATTTTGACTAGACCATGAACAATATATATGTGATCATGGCCATTTTATGTCAAATACGTAAATTTCGACATGTTTATGACGTCATAGTGACATCACAAGTGATCTATCTGCACTAAAGTGTCCAGATTATATTAATCTGTTCATTTATCAATATAATTAACATAACTTTGAAAGGCTCGAAAAAGTTTGCTATTATTTTTTTTTCTATTTCGGGGGCCAAATAATGGCTATTATCATACTCCCTCTTTTTAGGTCTGCGTTTAGGTCTTTAGTGCTACCTTTTTTCTATTGCATCAAGCGACATTTTGCATTGATAGAAGCAGGTTTTGTTTTTATGCCTGATGATTAGAACGATGCCGACAGAAAGTTATGTTGGTGCTGTTGATAATGGAACGAGTAGTTCCAGATTTCTGGTAGTAGTCTTAATTACACCTCAACGAAAATAGATTGTCGCAAATCAATAATCATTGTCATGAACAAGTAAAATCGAAAAGGATTTTTTTAAAACCTCAAGCCCTAAATTTTATTATTATTCACGATCTTCCAATAGGCTATTTCTCGAATTATGTCTTTCACCGGAAAAGATCGTCAATTACGGACGCCCTTATGACGTCATTTACCAGATAGAAGGCGTGCATGTATCCCTGCACTATTAAAGTCTGAAGCATTCTCAGGATCATCATTCTGCAGTGTAGTATAGAAATAAATTTATCTATGTTCCATACAGCTAAATGGAGGGTGACCATCTAATTAGATTTTAATTTCCGAAATATTTTGTGCAGTATAGCATTAAACTTTTTCACCTGTTCACTCAACATGTGTTGAAAGTGACGATGCCTAGTGGTGATGGAAGTCACATGACAGATTCAACTAACTACCGTAACTCGGAACTGTCATATTAATACATTTTATAATAATCAACATGATTAAAACTTAAAATTTATGTTTAATAAGTTCTTTTTGAAAAAAATTTGTTATATTGAAATGTTGAATACTGAGCACTGCCATAGTCATACTGGTTGTTTTTGTGGTTTGGTTGCTGTCTCGAGCTTGTTTCTGTATATCCCATATCTCCCTTTATTAACATTTCTATATAAAATTTCAAATATAAGATATTAATCTACAATTGTCATCATCTGTTGAAAATTTTGGAATTAATATAATACAATGTAGATTTAAAATAAAAATCAGACTTGACAGTAAATATTTCTGGCAATATAAAAATAAGAAGATGTGGTATGATTGCCAATGAGACAACTCTCCACAAGAGACCAAATGACATAGAAGTTAACTACTATTGTCACTGTATGGCCTTCAACAATGAGCAAAACCCATGCCGCATAGTCAGCTATAAAAGGCCCAGAAATGACAAATGTAAACAATTCAAATGAAAAATCTAACGGCCTGATTTATGTACAAAACAATTAATGAAAAACGATGATATACAGCAACAAATGACAACCACTGAATTACAGGCTCCTGACTTGGGACAGGCACATACAGAATGTGACGAGGTTAAACATCATCAAGCTTATTTATTTATTTCAGCCAACTATATGTACATTTTGTACCTGATGACAATTTGATATTCAAATGGGATCATTCATGTGTGAAATCATAACCTTTCTTAGAATAATTATTTGTTTTTAAAAACACTTAGGCCAAATAAAAGTATATGTGTGGTTCCAGTTACATCCTGAAAAAATAGGGTAGGTAAGTCGGCAAATTTTATAAATTTTTTTTTTTAATTTTCATATTAATCATGTTAATATTTTTTTGGATTGTCAATATCTGAAAAAAAATTGTGTGTTTACCGAGTTGGATTCTTGTATTATACACTTCCCTACCGGAAGTTCACCATTTTCCATACGTTTGGTTGTCAAATCAGGGGTGAAACTTAACTTTGTAAGGCCAGTAGCCAGCTGGACTACTAGACTTGAAAATCAGTAAGCCCAGACAAAAAGTTAGTAGCCCACTTTATTTCACTATGAGTATCACTGGTGAAGCCCGCGAAGCGTGCTGTACTTGCTAGGGGGTTTGGGGGCATGCCCCCCAAGAAAATTTTGAAATTTTAGACTCAAAACCCTGCATTCTGAGCATACCTGGAGGTGATTTAGATGCTAGGGAAAATGTAAATTTTGTCTTATTTTTGTTGTTGACTTCAATCAAATTTGATTAAAAAAAAATCATTTACAAAATGGGAATCTTCATGCCCTGTGTACCAGTTTTTTTTTTAATATCTTTTTAAGACAACTAAAGAATTCTCTGTCCTTAAATACATGTAGATGATCGATGAAATATTTAATTTTATTTCTTTAATAATCTAATTTATTAAATATCTTGATTGATTTATTTTGCATAACTACGTACATTTGTAAACAAATGACCCCCCTTTTTTCTCAAAAGATTTGTACACGTATTTCAAAATCATTGTCATAAAATTGATATCTCCTCTGATTTTCTCTTTTTTGTAAACTGTTCAGTAAGTAGGAAACTAAAATCATTTTGAACTAATGTTATTTATTTGTGGTCGACAATATTCTACTTTCGTTTTTGACCTTCATTCTCTGGACACCACATGGGCTTTGAAAAGGGAACTACAAAAGCCAAGGTACTGTTTTCCAGATTTTTAACAACATTATATATTATACGTTCTTTTATTTGACTGATATTATTTCATAACATGCTATTGTCATCTTCTCTGAATTTCTTCGCTTTCTTGAAGCCAAAACCGAACAGGGTATTTGATCGCATATTGTAAATGACCATCGGAACGTCTCTCTTGTTATCCTTGCAAACATACGATACTTTCCAGACTTTAAATAGACGACCAATCAGTGACCTGAATTAACGTGAACTATATTTAGTCAAAGGTAAACACTGATTTTACATCCTTGTTTATCGCGACCGCGACTTTTGTTTTAAAAAGATTTTTTTTTCTTTTTGAATTTATATTTTTGTCAGTGAAGTAGCTGGCACTTGGAGCCACGGTAAATAGCGGATTTCCGTCTGTCGAGTACTTTGTTTTCAATTCGCCACCTGGGCTACCACAACTGAATAAAAAGATCGCCCAGGTCAATTTCTGGTCGCCATGGGCGACTGGGCGACCGTTAAGTTTTTTCCCTGCAAATAAACATATGTTACGTTTTTAGTTAATTTTGTTGCATTCTGTTAAGAATTTGTTGCATTTTAGTCAGTGGATACATCCAGTTGAAATTTAGATAACAGAAGTCTGTGAATTTAATGATTTAATTTCACATTCCACAAAATGGGATCGTTCGAAAATTATTTTTCAGAAATGGAAAAAAAAAAGTTTTAGGGTTTGGGTTTAAACTAGGGTCGGTCGGGTAACTGGAACCACACATATACTTTTATTTGGCCTTAAAGTCAAAGTTTAAAATAGAAAATTAGAAATTGATAAATTAACAAACATATCTCAATCTCCATCATGCAAAGCTCTGATTCTTGCCCAGCTTTGGCTATACTTTTTGTCTTTCTTGGTTTATAAGCTCTTATTTGTTTTAAATTGGCACTGTTAATGTTATATCAAATCATTATTGCAAACTATCTGCTTGGAGACACAATAATCCCATTTTCAGGGGTTTCCTTCTGTTCTCCCATTGAAGAGATCAAAATCCTGTGTATTAAAATGTAATGAATCAAAAATTTCTGACACCAATTATACTATGTACATGTATGTTTATTTATAAAAATTCACTATTGTGGTAAACACCTGAGGATTATTTCCTAATGCTAATAAACAAGTGATAGTTTGATTTAACAGTCAACAGGTGATTGGATATGAATTGTTAGATGTGGCTTCTGTTTATGTCACATGCCACATGCAATGATGATTAGATTAAAGGTAAATACCTGCATTGATAGTAAAGTGGAATGGTGTTGTCAGATCATCAGATTGTCTTATTCTGAATTTTCTGCTGACAGGGGAGGAATTTCCCTGTGTTAACAGTTTATTACATCAGACGGTTACATTTATGACAAAAAAATGTTGATAAAAAACCACCTGATCTAAGATTTAAACTCCTAACCATAATTTCCCAATCTCCTAATCTGAGTTTCACAGTCCATCACATGTATGCAAACTTTGACGAGTCTAAAACTTTTAATTAACTGAAATTCAAAACTTCACTTTTTCAGAACTTATTGAAAATGATAAATGTATGTAAATAAATTTGATCACTCATAAGTTGTTTATAAAATACATGTACCGGTATGCTTATAAAATATATGTATAAATTACCTATCTACATGTTTCTTTTCTGTAGAATGTAATATCTTTATATTTCAGATGTTATTTGGAATAACTTAGATTTCCAAATTGACAGCAGAAGATCTAATTACAATCTTTTCTTTCAGATATTTTCCAGTACAACAGGAGAGCTAATTACATATCACCAGACTGAGATGAAACAGTATTGTCCAAAAGAGGGGTAAAATAAAAACTTACTTTTTAACATTTTTTTATGTGTAGTAGGAGTATTGATCATATTCCTATTCATTATTGATATGTGAGTGTTATATAGTTTTACCTCAATTTGTGTTATCTTCAAACATATCTCAATCTCCATCATGCAAAGCTCTGATTCTTGCCCAGCTTTGGCTATACTTTTTGTCTTTCTTGGTTTATAAGCTCTTATTTGTTATAAATTGGCACTGTTAATGTTATATCAAATCACTATTGCAAACTATCTGCTTGGAGACACAATAATCCCATTTTCAGGGGTTTCCTTCTGTTCTCCCATTGAAGAGATCAAAATCCTGTGTATTAAAATGTAATGAATCAAAAATTTCTGACACCAATTATACTATGTACATGTATGTTTATTTATAAAAATTCATTATTGTGGTAAACACCTGAGGATTATTTCCTAATGCTAATAAACAAGTGATAGTTTGATTTAACAGTCAACAGGTGATTGGATATGAATTGTTAGATGTGGCTTCTGTTTATTTCACATGCCACATGCAATGATGATTAGATTAAAGGTAAATACCTGCATTGATAGTAAAGTGGAATGGTGTTGTCAGATCATCAGTTTGAAGGTTTTGATGCCGAAAAACATTTATTTAACTTTTATCTTGGCAAAGTAATGCTCACTAGTATTTCACACTCTAATGCTGACATTAAGAGGATCTTAAGCATGCTTAAGAAGACCCAAACAGACAACAAGGACAACCTTTGTTCATTTATGTATCATTGTAATTTTGCTTAGTTTCTTTTGTTACCTATTCTGACATCGGACTCAGACTTCTTTTAAACTGAGTTTTATTGTGCATATTGCTATGTGTTTCTTTATTCTACATTGGCTAGAGGTATAGGGGGAGGATTGAGATCTCACAAAACATGTTTAACCCTGCCGCATTTTTGCGCCTGTCCCAAGTCAGGAGCCTCTGGCCTTTGTTAGTCTAGTATGTTTTTTAATTTTAGTTCATTTATATGTTTTGGAGTTTAGTATGACGTCTATTTTCACTGAACTAGCACACAATTTTATTTAGGGGCCAGCTGAGGACCACCTCCGGGTGCAGGATTTTCCCGCTGCATTGAAGACCCATTGGTGGCCTTCGGCTGTTGTCTGCTCTTTGGTCGGGTTGTTGTCTCTTTGACATATTCCCCATTTCCATTCTCAATTTTATTTAAATGAAGCTCAAGAGTAAAGAATGCTTTCTTTAAGATTCAGTGTTTTTAATAGTAGAATGAATATTTCAGGAAGTTTTGAATCTATGTATTATAACATTATTTTAGTTAGTATTTGCATAAGCGTTACACAAGATATTGGATTTTGACATGAAGAGTTCAGAGAAACAAGAACTACAAAATAAATGTACATCTATAAATAGCCTAATTTAAAGTGAATATACTTTCATTTTGTGTTCTCCCTTAAAGGCAAAATACAGGGTTAGATTTTAAATATATCTTTTCAGACTATACATTGTGTTGTACAATTTACTTTGCTTGAAAGGAATAGTCATTTAATTTATAACAAGGTGAATATTTTCTAGATGGGCGGAACAAGATCCTATGGATATACTGAATTCTGTTATTGTATGTATTGATAAAGCTGTAGAAAATCTGAAAGCTTTTGATAAAGACCCAGCATGTATAAAAGGTAATCTATATGAGATTTAACAAAGCAATCAATTTAAAAGTAAATAAAGGTGACATTATTAGAATTTGGCACATCGATATCGTAAAGTTCACAATAGATTAAGAATGATTTTTTTTCCGTAATATAAACAAATACAGTTTAATTCCTATACAATTGTTAATTCACATTTGAAAATCTTTATTGTTGCATTTATATATTTTTTGTTTACTATTTTTTGTTTTCCTTTTTTGATTTAATATTTTTTTGGTAGTACATTGTACATAGACAAATTTCAAGTTACTCATGTAGGTCAATCTGTTTAAATTATGTCATTGAACAATCATCTCTTGCTGTGGCTTAATAACATTGATTTTATGTGGCCTAAAAATAACATGATATTTTGATATCAGTACAATTTGATATCAGTACATAAGTTGTTGTCATACTACAAAGAGTATAAGCAAGCAACTTAAGCTCTCAGACATATATTTTATGGCTACGCATTTCATTAAAGCCCTTGTTAGTAGGCTAAAGGATATCAATAAAGGGTATTTTTAAAACTTTCTTTTCATTCTGTTTGTTTTATTGTTAAAACCAAAGTAAATGGAGTTGACTTGGATAACTTTTGGGAATATAATAATTTCAAAATAACTTTCTTTGCTCTAGTGTAGCTCTAATGATAGATATTTATTGTTTATCTTTGTAGCTATTGGCATAACTAACCAAAGAGAAACCATTGTGGCATGGGACAGAAAAACAGGGAAACCATTATATAATGCTATACGTATGTGTTAGATCTGTGGCATAAATATAAATATATAGTTCCTAGTACAAAAAATTGATTCAATTGTAAAGTTATAAATTTTACATACTTAAATCAAGTTCTACATGAAAGATATTACTGTAACTTTTACATAAAATGTGATTGTGATTTTAGTTATAGTTTTTTGTGAGTATAAACTGCCTTGAGATGTTTCAGTGACAAATATACATATGTACTGTACATTGCTTTATTTTCACGAAGTATCTACTAGCCAAGAAAATACAAACTAGATTTGCTTAGAAAAAAGCAACAATATTCAATTTCAAGAAAAACACATTTCAGGCAATTTGCAAATAGCAAAGCATGATTTAAAATAAGTTTCTAAAAACTTATTTGTTTTTTGTCTGTTATTTCAGTCTGGTTGGATGTAAGGACATCTTCAACAGTATCAAAGTTAATAGCAAAAACACCACAGAAAAGTAAAGATTCTTTGAGAGTAAGTATTTAGTCTCGTGTTTATATACCAGTATATAAAGTCCAAGAAAGGCTGATATATGCTTTATTGTCTCGCCTTGACGGAGTCAAAAAGCGAGACATAGGTATGCTGTTTCCGGCGTTGACTGGGGGCGTCGGCGTCAACAATGTATTAGTTTGTGATTAGGTCTAGTTCATGGTGAATCACTAGTGGTAGGTCAATGATATTTGGTATGCAGTTGTATTAGCATTGGCACATCTCATTACCATGGAGATTATTTGGCCCTGCCCCCTCAGTCAAGGTCTATTGACTTTGAAACTTTTCATAGTTTACATGTATAAGTTTGTGATTAGGTCAATTTATGGGGAACTGTTAGTGGTAGGTCAATGATATTTGGTATGCAGTTGTATAAGCATTGGCATATCTCATTTCCATGGAGATTATTTGGTTCCGCCCCCTTAGTCATGGTCTATAGACTTTGAAAATTTTGCTAAGTTAGAATGTATTAGTTTGTGATTAGGTCAGTTCAAGGGGAACCATTTGTGGTAGGCCAATGTTAATTGGTGTTCAGTTGTGTAAGCATTAGCACATCTCATTTCCATGGGGAATATTTGGCCCCGCTCCCTCAGTCATGGTCTATTGACTTTGAAACTTTTGCTTAGTTTACATGTATTAGTTTGTGATTAGATCAGTTTAAGATGAACTGCTAATGTTAAGTCAATGATATTTGGTATGCAAATGTATTGGCATTTGCAAGTATCGTTTCCATGGAGATTATATAGCCCCACCCCTGATCATGGTTCATTGACTTTGAAACTTTTACATAGTTTACAAGTTAATGTTTGTGTTTAGGTATGTTTAAAGGGAACGACTTATAATAAGTCAAAGGTATTTGGTTTGCAGTTGTATTAGCATTGGCACATCTCATTCCATGGAGATTGTTTAGCCATGTACCTTCAGTCATGGTTTATCGACTTTGAATATTTGCATAACTTACATGTTAAAGTATTGCTATTTTATTTTCAACATTTGCATTATCAAAATTACAAAAAGGCGAGACATATCTCTGTGATAACAGTTTATGAATTATTATTCGTGGATTGTAACCTTGTCTTTCTGAAATTATAGAGCTTGGATCTGAAAAATATGACTATCTTTTATGTTAACATTATTTAGTATCATAGAAGATGTTAAAGTTCAATCCATTGAGCACATTTGCAGGATTTCCATTTTTATACCCTGACTCTAAAAGTGGGGGCTATATTGCCTTGTCTGTCCATTCTTCCAACAAATAATTTTGTCACACTTATCAGAAACTACGGAACAGAATGACTTCATATTTGGTCAGTTGGTCAACAGTAATGAGAAATGTGTGAGCACTTTTAGGATCTGTCAAATACCAACTTCCTGTTTGCAGATACTTTGAATTTCTCACAATGTTGAATCAACTTGAAATTTTTCATCACACTTTTCTCAAAAACTACTGAAAAAAATGACTTCATAGATGAACAGTGATGAGTTGTAATGTGTGAGCCCTTTTGCATCTGTAAGATACCTACTTTTCTGTTTGCCTAGAATTTTTCAATATGTTGAATAGACTTGAAATTTTTGTGTCACACTTTTACTCAGAAACTATTGAACAGAATGTCTTCATATATGGTCAGTAGTTCAATTGTTATGAGTTACAAGTAACGTGTGTGCACCTATAGATCTGCCAGACTCCTATTTCCTGTTTTTCAATACATTTGTACTTTTGAATTATGAGTAGGGGTATTCTTAAGTGATGATTCGATTATCAACTATTTTCAAAAATCGATTGAGTACTGAAAATTTTAGATTAATTGATTATTATTAGCTCACCTGGCCCAAAGGGCCAAGTGAGCTTTTCTCATCACTTGGCGTCCGTCGTCCGTCGTCGTCGTAGTGGTCCGTCGTCGTTAACTTTTAAAAAAATCTTCTCCTCTGAAACTACTGGGCTATATTTGACCAAACTTGGCCACAATCATCATTGGGGTATCTAGTTTAAAAAATTTGTTTATCAGGTCAAGATCTATCTGCCCTGAAATTTTCAGATGAATCGGACAACCCGTTGTTGGGTTGCTGCCCCTGAATTGGTAATTTAAGGAATTTTTGCCGTTTTTATACGACCGCAAAAAAATTTTGTGGTCGTATATTGGTATGACGTTGGCGTCGTCGTCGTCGTCGTCGTCCGGCGTCGTCGTCGTCGTCCGGCGTCGTCGTCCGAATACATATTGGTTTTCGCACTCTAACTTTAGTTTAAGTGAATGGATCTTTTTGAAATTTGACCATAAGGTTAAATACCACAAAAGGAAGGTTGGGATTGATTTTGGGGGTTATGGTACCAACAGTTAAGGAATTAGGGGCCAAAAAGGGGCCAAAAATGAGCATTTTCTAGTTTCCAGACAATAACTGTGGAACGGTGTATGGATCTCTCTGAAATTATACTACAAGTTTCCATACCACAAAGGGATGGTTAGAATTTGCTTTGGGGGGTTATGGCTCAAACCGTTTAGGAATTACGGGCAAAAAAGGGGGAAAAACAAGGTTGTCCTGGTTAATGGACAAATACTTTAGTACAAAACATAATTTAAAGCAGTGTAAGGGAGATAAATCAAATACATCATTGAAATTATCTCCCTTACACTGCTTTTAAATTATGTATAAAGTAATGATTAATGAACAATAAAGATAATCTAAAACAGTGTAAGGGAGGTAATCCAAATACAACGTTTTGGTTACTTCCCTTACACTGCTTTTAAATTATGTTTAAAGAAATGCATATTTATAAAGGAAGACCAGTAAAAATATCTGCAAATGTTTTCATCTTTTTTTTTTACAAAAAAATCCATATGAAAGATTTGACACTATATTTTTATTAATTCTATTATAAAATAGATTAAGTTAGCACTATGGTAAATTTAAATGGGTAATTATGGTTGCCAACTCCATTGGAAATTTGAATTGAGATTATGACCATATCTTGAGGGAAAGAATTTTTTTGGGGGGAAAAGGGGGGGGGGGGGATAAAAAGAAATTGTGGGGGGCCAATTTTTTCTCATTTCAGATTTCAGAAATTAAAAAGAATTATTCTTCAAATATTATTTTTTTTTCAAATTTCAAATATTGAAAAATTTCAAGAAGTAATCTTTAATTGCACAGTATGGCGCATTAGATTTGTAAAATCTTTGATCACATTTATTTATTTGTTATGCCGAATCTAACAGTGTATTTAGATTTTTAATTTTGGGTCCAGTTTTCAAATTGGTCTACATTAATGTCCAAAGGGTCCAAAATTAAACTTTGTTTGATTTTAGCAAAAATTGAATATATGAGGTTCTTTGATATGCTGAATCTAAACATGTATTTAGATTTTTGATTTTTGGCCCAGTTTTCAAGTTGGTCCAAATTGGGGTCCAAAATTAAACTTTGTTTGATTTCAACAAAAATTGAATATATGGGGTTCTTTGATATCCTGAATCTAACCATGTATTTAGATTTTTTATTTGTGGACCCCGTTAACTTATTGGTTCATATTGAGGTCAAAAGGGTCCAAAATTAAACTTTGTTTGATTTCATCTAAAATTGAATTATTGGGGTTCTTTGATATTCCAAATCTAACCGTGTATTTAGGTTTTTAATTTTGGGCCCAGTTTTTTAAATTGGTCTACATTGAGGTCCAAAGGGTCCAAAATTAAACTTAGTTTGATTTTGACAAAAATTTAATTCTTGGGGTTCTTTGATTTGCTGAATCTAAACTTGTGTTTAGATTTTTGATTATGGGCCCAGTTTTCAAGTTGGTCCAAGATAGGGTCCAGTATTTAAACTTTGTTTGATTTCAACAAAAATTGAGTATATGGGGTTCTTTGATATGCTGAATCTAAACATGTATTTAGATTTTTGATTATGGGCCCAGTTTTCAAGTTGGTCCAAATTGGGGTCCAAAATTAAACTTTGTTTGATTTCAACAAAAATTGAATATATGAGGTTCTTTGATATGCTGAATCTAACCATGTATTTAGATTTTTTATTTGTAGGCCCCGCTATCAAATTGGTTCATATTGAGGTCAAAAGGGTCCAAAATTAAACTTTGTTTGATTTCATCTAAAATTGAATTATTGGGGTTCTTTGATATGCCAAATCTAACCGTGTTTTTAGATTTTTAATTTGGGTTCCGTTTTTTAAATTGGTCTTCATTGAGGTCCAAAGGGTCCAAAATTAAACTTAGTTTGATTTTAACAAAAATTGAATTCTTGGGGTTCTTTGATATGCTGAATCTAAACATGTGTTTAGATTTTTGATTATGGGCCCAGTTTTCAAGTTGGTCCAAGTTGGGGTCCAAAATTAAACTTTTTTTTATTTCAACAAAAATTGAATATATGGGGTTCTTTGATATGCTGAATCTAACCATGAATTTAGATTTTTTATTTGTGGGCCCCGCTATCAAATTGGTTCATATTGAGGTCAAAAGGGTCCAAAATGAAACTTTGTTTGATTTCATCAAAAATTGAAATATTGGGGTTCTTTGATATTCCAAATCTAACCGTGTATTTAGATGTTTAATTTTAAGTCCCGTTTTTTAAATTGGTCTACATTAAGGTCCAAAGGGTCCAAAATTAAACTTAGTTTGATTTTAGCAAAAATTGAATTCTTGGGGTTCTTTGATATGCTGAATCTAAACATGTTATTAGATTTTTGATTATGGGCCCAGTTTTCAAGTTTGTCCAAGTTGGGGTCCAAAATTAAACTTTGTTGGATTTTAACAAAAATTGAATATATGGGGTTCTTTGATATGCTGAATCTAACCATGTATTTTGATTTTGGACATTGGACCATAATAGGTAAATTAAAAAAATTCAAGTTCTTAGACCACATTCTTTCTGTGTCAGAAACCTATGCTGTGTCAAATATTTAATAACAATCCAAATTCAGAGCTGTATCAAGCTTGAATGTTGTGTCCATACTTGCCCCAACTGTTCAGGGTTCGACCTCTGCGGTCGTAT